TGTGAGGGGGTCGTATCTCTATCTCTTTCTGGCCAACTGCCAATTTTCGATTTCCATCTCTCTCTTTTTCTTCTCTTTTTAATCTCTCTCTATATCCATTTCTCTCTCTCTTTCAATCTCTCTCTCACTCACCCTCTTGCCTCATGAATACATAAAATTTCCCCCAGCCACTACGTCTCCACTCCCATTCTTTCACTTCCGTACCTTCTGTGGTGGTCGAAGGCGCCCTTGTTGTCGGTGTTGTTATTGTAGGCCCTCCGTCGTGGCTGAAGGAGTGCCGGTTCGTCGTCCCTCCTGCTGATGGTGCGGGGCAGGCGCGGGTGCTCGTCGTCCCTCCTCCTGATGGTGAGGGGCAGGCGCGGTGCTCGTCGTCCCTCCTCCTGATGGTGCGGGGCAGGCGCGGTGCTCGTCCGTCCTCCTCTGATGGTGCGGGCAGGCGCGGTGCTCGTCGTCCCTCCTCCTGATGGTGCGGGGCAGGCGCGGTGCTCGTCGTCCTCCTCCTGATGGTGAGGGGCAGGCGCGCGTGCTCGTCGTCCTCCTCCTGATGGTGAGGGGGCAGGCGCGGTGCTCGTCGTCCCAGCTGCTTCTGCCGTTGCTCCGGGGGCAGCTGTTGTCCCTGCCGGCGATGTCGTTGTTACGGAGGCAGTTGTCGTCTGCTGCTGCGTGGTGGCCTCGTCTTCGCTGACGAAGGGGACGTAGAAGTTGAAGACGGGGTCGTTGTGGCACGGCGAGAGGATCGCTGGCCGGCTGACACGCCCTCCTCCTGCTCGCCCCGTCTTCCGGGGCCCTTGCCCCCAGGCTGAAGCCGAGCAGGTCGCCTCTGCAACACAACCGCTTCAGGAGAGGCCCGGGACGCCACCCTGCCCTAAGCCTAAGAAGACAGACGCCCTACCTACAGAGGATCCAACTCTACCTCGGTTCCTTGGTTGGAACCCCCGTGAATTCTCAGAGGTCTTTCCTGTTCTCAGAGGTCTTCGTGTTTGACAGAAGTTTTAGCTGTGAATCACAAGCATCTTTTCGTCGACAGTAACAGGTTTTCGAGGGAAAACGGTCGATTCTATTTCAGACGGGATGCAAGGGGCGCCTCGCTGCTCGGAGGGAGGGCACTGTTATGATGATAACTACTGATAGCGCGTGTGTGTGTGTCGTGGTACGAAAGAGACAGCACTGAGCATGTGTAGGAAGTGGAAAGAAGAAATGGAAGTCCCGGTTAGCAAGTAAATAGATGTAAATAAGTTGACCACATTACCCCACTTATAAACAAAGGAAGTTGGCTGAAAGTACAATACAAATCCAACTATGATACTTGCATATTAACTCTTTAACTATTAAAAAGTGACTTTTAACCCTTCCAACCGCAGGTAACACAACCTGTGTCCAAACAAGACGTACAGATCACGTACAGACACAGGGGACAGACACTAACACACGGAGCCATGATCTGGAGTCAGTACCTTGTAATATCAGAGACATTCCGAACACAAATACATTCAGAAAGAAATTAAGGAACATCTAAATCACTAATGGCATCAGGTTTCAAAATATAAGAATAGGCTAGACTTATATGTACTACCGTTAATTCTATGTTTACTTAGATTTATATTTACTGTAAAATCACTTTTTATGTAATAAGAATAACTTAAAAACGAATAGAATCAAGTATTTTGAATTTGAATTTGAACTCTCTCCCTCCCTCCTTTCTCCGTTCTTCCCTCCCTCCTTCTTCCTTCCCTCCCTCCTTTCCTCCCCCTCTCTCTCCTCCCCCCCCCCCCTCACCTTGGGCGCAGAGGGCAGCACACTGCGCGAGTGAGGCGACCTGGGCATCGGCGATCTTCGAGCCGCACCGCTGGCCATGGGCGTGGCTGACGAAGAGCTCGGACCCGCCCTCTGCTGCCCTGGCTCCCCCTGCTTGGGTCAGCAGCAACAGCAGCAGGAGCAGGGGGATCTTTCCTCTCTCCGCTTTCATCACCGTCCGCTTCTCTCCTCCTTTTATCTTCGTGTTGGTCCTCGCACCTTGCATCGTCCCCCACGTGGATGTCGCTTCCCTTCGCACGGTTTCAGAACAAGGAAAAGCCTTTTCTTCACTCCTTCCTGATCGCCTCTCTGTCTGTCTGTCTGTCTGTCTGTCTGTCTGCCTGTCTGTCTGTCTGTCTGCCTGTCTGTCTGCCTGTCTGTCTGCCTGCTCTCTGTCTGTCTGCCTGTCTGTCTGTCTGTCTGCCTGTCTGTGTCTGTTTGTCTCTTCGTGTTGTGGTGCAGTCGGAATGTTTACTATATTCAAAATAGAAATGTTACAGTTACAAGATATCATATACATTCATGCATATGTGTGTACATATGTGTATGCGTGTTCATGAGGTGGGGAACCTGAAGGAATTAGCCTCAGGTGTTTCGTATTTCTCACAAGTCACCTGAGTCCAACACCGCCCAGCTCACTCACCCAAGGGGACCAACTCGCCACAATTGCGAGAACCGAAGAGCTCGAGGAGGAGCTGGAGGGCATTCGAGGTCAACTGTCCGCGAATGGCAAGAAGGGGCAATGGCGTTCTGTGGCGGCCTGGGTATGATACCTGATACCCATCTTTCCATATCAAAAAGAACTGGATCGGAGAGTGACTTACCTGTGGTTTCTCTGAGGGAGGGAGACGCACTGCCCGCTTTTGCTTAAACAAGAAACTTCCTTTTAGTATCGACCTCGCCAGAACTGATGGAGGTGGTGGTGAGATATATCCCTGGCATATAATTTTGCTCTGACATGCCAATTTTGTATAATTCGGCTTAAAAAAAAAAAAAAAAAAAAAAAAAACAGGGTGTTTAAATCTAATACTAACCTTCATCTGTTGTTTGATATATATATATATATATATATATATATATATATATATATATATATATATATATATATATATACAGCAAGTTTAGTTAAACATAAATTCTACTTCTCCTCATCGGTATGGAAGCTTCCATTTCAGATTTTGAAAACAAAATATTCAGTAGATATATAAAAATAAAGATAAAAAGCAGTAAAACAGTAATTAAACCGAATCCTCCATCCACTGACCTCCTATCTGGTCGAACAATGAAACCCGGTTCCTCCTCTATCCAGTCTGAGTATTATGCTTGCGAAGACCTTCCTCTTAGGGCCAAGAGCAGCGTCTTCTCTCCAAGGGCGTTCATCTGGCAGCCCGAAGACCCACAGATACTTTGCTCTGATTGATTATAAAGAATGGTCGGATAGTGTCTAATCAAAAGTAAATAAAGATACATCTAAAGGCGTGAATTAAATATGATTTGTTAGGAGTTACAGTATAGGTTCTAATCCTCATACTGACGAGACTATAAATTCCATTAAAATATTTTAATGTACATATCCCAGGATCTGCATTGCGGCTGTGGATATTGCACATAAACATCAGTATATACATATTTTTTTCTTTATATATGTCTAAAAAGTATTTCATTCATCAACAAATGTCATTCAAAAAGGCTAATTTACGTTGATTAAAGAGAAAATCATGTGTTACAGAGCATATGTATTTTGAACGTATTAAATTAATTATAAGAAAGACTTAAGGAAAGAATTAAGATTTAGCTTATGAATGAATTTGATATAATCGATATACTGATAGATAGTTATGAATGATTATGAAAATAACTGATAAAAAGTAAATGAAAATTGAGGTTTTGAATTTTGATTAAAGGTCCATTTCTAGATATGTAAAGAGAATTATTGAGGAAATTAAGAGGAAATCGTGAAGAATTCGAAACGTTACGTTCATTTTCGTATTTTCCCTCCCTCCGCACCCTCTTTCTACCTACCCTTCCCCTTCCTCCATCCCTCCTTCTTTCTTTCCTCCCTCCACCCCCTTTTCCTTTCCTCCCACCATCCTCCTACCTCCCCCCCCTTTTCCCTTCCTCCCACCCTCTTCCAACCTTCCCTATCACCCTTCCTCCCTTCCTCCCTCCAGTCTTCCCTTCCTCCTTTTCCCTTCGCTAAATGTGCGGACCGGTGTCCTATAGAGTTTACACGAGAACCAAAACAACTAATGACATAATCATCATCATCATCCGTCATCAGCAACTTGATTATTATCATGAATATGATTTTTTTCTCCCCATCTTTACCCCTTCTTTTGCCTGGTGTACTTCTTACCTTCCACTGCCGTCGGGATGTATAGTTACGGTGGTTTTTTTCCCGACGTGATCTGTCGTCGTGGCGCTGAAGAGACCACACAAGTTGTTTATCGAGATCGCCAAGGCTCGAGGTTTCCGATTTCTTGCCGTCGTAAGTTTTGTCAGTTCTCAGTCTTCTCTCTGGATTGATCTTGGCGCTGTTTATCACTGGACACACACGCACTTGCTTACACGCGCACATACACGTGCACACGCTCACACACACACGCGCGCGCCTGTTGATACATACACACACACACAACCACACGCATTCCACACACAGACACTTACAAAGACATACATTCTCTCTCTCTCTCTCTCTCATCGATCTATCTTCCTTTCTATCTATTTATTTAGCTATCCATCTATCTATCTATCCATCTCTCCCGCACACAAACATACATGCGCGCAAACAAACACACGCGTGCACACACTCACGCAGATTCGCATAGGCAGTCAAACAAATAACACACAGAACTGAAAAAGACATGGCAGTGAAGTGGCCATTGCAATCTGTGAGTTAAAA